TAACGTAAGTATTTAATATAATTATTATTTATTGGTAGTCGTTATTTTATTCATAATATTAGTCGTTTACAATCACTCGATCCGTCCAATTATAACAATAATATTAAGTATATCGTATATCTTATATCTATTCAATTCATTGTTTCGGGAGAAGTGGTCGGCTTGCTTCATATTATGAATAAGTACAATAAAAGTTAGGTAAGTATGAAAAAAAATCTAGGTAGGTAGTTATGGACACTTAAATAAATCATAACCTACCACCACATGCTGATGTATCTTCAACAGTATTCAACTTTCTTACATACCTATTTATTTTTATTTTGAAGCTTATATATTTATTGTTCCATCAAACAACATAGGTAGATGCATATATTTTGAACCAAAATTAATAAACAATTTTTATGAGTTAAAATCGTTAATTATTAATTATTTTATATTAGGTAGGTAGGTACCTACCTATTCTTTTATTTGATTAAAACTAATTGTGAATAATTTATGTAGGTAGATACCTACCTATGTTATAATTATTGATAAATAGTAACCAATTAACAAGTCTCAAAGTAAATAAAAGTTGAATAGTTATAAAGATACATCAGCTAGCAAGTACACAGTGTACCTATACCGACCTATACTTACCTATAAATTATGATTTATTGAATTGCCCATAACTATAAAAAATAACAAAACAGTTCTCTTTAAAAGAAGTTTTTTTTGACTTGGCTAATGACTTACCCTGGGACACATTATTGTACATAACAGTCAACAAATTATTACGATAAATTAGATTTAATTTTTAATTACCTATTTACATTAAAATAATTAACAATTTCTGTAGGTATTAAAAACAATGATTAAAAGTAGTAGAACCAAAAGAAGAAAAACTAGACAAGAAATACATTTATTTGAAGAAATATATTCAAACTGTGAATTAGATGAATGTGCTTCAAAAGTATCCGAAGGACAAAACACATTGAACCGTACCTAACCTAACCTACTGGGAAATTTAAATTTTGACCTCCCCAATGCACCAACGATATTCACTTTCCAATCGAACAAGATACTGAAGTTGAAATCGAAGCATTATTTCGACTACTTATCGTGTACACAGACACAAAAAGAAATTTAAAAATTTAAAAATTTAAAAAAAAAACACGCATCATTGTTAAATCAACATTGTTCCACTCAGAATCTAAAAAAACAAAAAAAAAACACACACATCATTGTAAAATCAATACATTCATCGTTTTACTCAGAATCTAAAATTAAGGAAACCCTGAATTTTTACAGAAAATCGGTTTTCAAAAAAATCGAATTTGGTTTTTGGTGTAACTCTAGAACAAATTACCGTAGATTTTTCACTGGTTGTTTAAATTAGCATTTTCTATACACGATAAATGATCAAAAAAATTTGATTTGTATTGAACTGTTTACGGACATATTCAGTTCAAATATTAAAAATACAGTCACAATTTTTTTTATATAACCATTTAAAGTTCAACTATTGAAAAAAATACGTAAAAATGATGAAAATGTGAACATTTATTTGAGCTAGAAATTCATAATCATTAAAATATAATACAAGATTCCTCATTAGTTAGAGGTATAATGGTAGACCCATTATCACAAAAAAAAATGTCTACAAGAAAGTCAAATTAAATTTTTATGATCGTTTGAAGGTAACATTTTGACCACATTGGATATTTATTCGATTTCTCATGTACGATGTACCTATCGATTTTCTTATTTTGTTGTAATTCAAAAACGAATGACCGTAGGCATTTATATCACATGTTTATTTTATCAATTCCTATACTTGATAAAATGTTCAAAATATTTTGACTTGTTTTGAGCTGTTACGGTGATGGCTATTAATTGAACTAGTGATGGTTACTGCCGCCGCCGATGCCCGACACGTATCCACGATGTCAAAACTAATGAAAGAGTAGAGACTGCCACTTGCGACCCTGGTTACCACCGTCTCTGTTTCGTTAAGCTTGAGTGGCATTATTGAACAAAAATGAGTTCACACATATCAATAAAAAGTAAAAACCCGTCAAGAAATATCAAAACGGTTTTGATATTTTCAATATAACTTATACGGTCAAATCGGTCAATAATATTGTCAATATCGAATATTGTTCGTCTACAGAAGTACAGCGTGCTAAAACATATAGCCCAAAACATGTTTTTTGTCTCTCATTATGTTCATATGTTATGTTTTCTCTCAGTTATGTCGTCTGGATTTACACGTTGACAGACACGACTGCTAATGCAGTTATGCAAATTACTGAAATTTTTTAGTCACTCTGATTACTAAATTACTGGCATAATCCATAGATTTTTATATATTTTTTAGAATATTTGATTTTTTTTTTTTGCCCGAATTGTTAGTAAGTCACAATAGGCCATAATTAAATTAATTATTTAGTTATTATTAGTAAGAGAAGGCTGTTATTTAGCTTTTAAATACTTACTTTTCTTGAATATTAAGTAGATAGTAATAATAATATCATTAAGTTTATAAATTCAGTAGATACCTTTATTATGCTACAATTTTATATATGATAGTATGATACTATAATAACACACATCTGGTGAACATTTCAAGTATTGAAGTATCCATATTATGGATATTTGTTTTTTAACTACATAACAATATAGTGAATAAAAGAAAACTGTTTGAAGATACTTCGACATAAAACGCTCATAAAAAATTAATTTGACTTTATATGACTTTATATAATTATATGGCTATAATAAAATGTACAAACTGTATAGGATAAGATGAATATGTTTATATCGGAAGTATTATTTTCATGCTACCTTGTTGAATGATAATCAAACATCGTGTGCATCAACGCTACTGCCCATAAAATCTTTAAAGTCCAATGCCATTTTGTACGGACAACACCTATAACAAGTAAGAACAATAAGCCACTATGTGTATTTTAGTACACAACTGCCGTTAGACATTGTATAAAATAATTTTAATTCACCTAAATATGTTATTGAATGTGAGCAATGATCTCGGAATGGAAAGTTCAAATAAGTTCTTTCTAACGGCGGTTATTATTTCTTTTGCCGTCGACTCTGCCGTTACTAGTGGTAAAAAGCTGGGAAAACTATTTAAAATTGTTTTATCAGTAAACGTCTACAAACTCCACACAGTTGCAAGTATATAATGTGATGTGTTGCATCACCCGAACTTACCGAATTACAGGTTTTTTTGCACAGACCGGTGTCCACCATACACGTGAAAATAGAGGTGAAATGGATATTTGTGAAGTCATCGTCTCTGGGGGACTGTGTCGCTTATGACGTACAACGGTCGGCGGAAAAAACGATTCGAGATCGACCGCGACGGTCGGACCGAAAACATATCGTCCGACGTTAAACTTATTTGCCCGAGAGGCACGTCATGTATTATTATATTTTGGTCGTAATATTATAATACATAATTTGTGACATTCTTAAAGTGTTTGTGTTGTGTTTTTTCATCGACTCAATCAAAACCAAACTCTTCGACCGGACAACGATCAACCTTGAAACAATCACCGTGTCCGCTTCAATTATTTACATTATTATTATTGTTAGAGTATACTTTTAACTTTTATTTTAACTTTTAAGTAAACATTAGTTTTTACTTTTTATGTCAATAAATGACAAGTAAAGTAATATTTATTGTAATTGAAGATAGAAGGTTGGGGGGGGGCTTAGCTAGATTGAGTTTAATCACAAGGAACGCTATTTTTTTTCAAGTCTAGGAGTCCCCTTTCTTTTATTTTTCCAATTCGAGCACTGATGACCACATATTATTATTAACTGTTTGTTGCAAACTGACAACCACTAACCTCTCACTCATTTGGACGCACAGTAAGGCACTAAGTTCTCCAAGCCAATTATACCAGCCATTGACGACAAGAAGACTAATTGTCCTCTGTTCATCGCTTTCATTCCGGGCAAAAATGTATCGAGCATCTACATGTAAAACATAATTGAATAACTCATTTTAGAAATAAAAAAAATTGATACTTTATATTATATCAAAATATGGGTCCATTGAAAAAAAATTTAATTATCATCAACAAATCTACTTTATGTGTAGGTATAATATGCATTAGTGATTAGTATTTCGTAATTAAAAAACGAATAACGAATAAATTTTTGATATTTTCACTAAATATATTTTATATTAGTATTTTCTAAACATGATAAAATGTTCAAAATATTTGGCTGGTTTTGAGTTATTTATAGACATTTTAAATTGTCTCGCTATTTTTTATAACCTTTTAAAGTTCAAATGTTGACAACATTTATTAAAATCACTAACATTTTCAAATTATTTTGTAGTTAAAAAAAATGTACAATTGTTATAGCTAAGTATTGGAAATATAAAATAAGGTTTCTTACAAATATTGCATACATAAATTACAGTGATCCAACCTAATGTACAGCAGAGCAGTATCTACTTGCCCAGCTTTTTAGTTTTGTTATTATGAGATGGCTTATGCATTTTAAAAGGGCCGAAAAATAAAATAATCAGCCCACTTTACCGGCTCGTCGGTCACATATTATGTAATAATAGTATTATTGAGTGGAATGATATTACATCAGTTTGTTTTGATGGAGCGGCAGCCATGTCAGGTTCAATAAGTGGTGTTCAAAAAAAAATTAAAGAAATGAATTCTAGTATTATGTATGTACATTGTTACGCCCACTGCCTAAACTTAGTACTAGTTGATGCTTGTACGTCTTCTAAAGAAAATCGCATAGTTTTTGAATTTTTTGGAGTAGTGCAACTAACATAATATGTTAGTTGCACTACTCCATATTATGCATATTATGCATATTATGCTTTTATAGAAGGAAGTTCTGTACGTCACGCTATTTTTGAGAACATTTTTAAACAAATAAATGTTACATTGAGGACTATGAAGTCACTGTCAACAACAAAATGGGCATGTAGGGCAGAAGCCTTCAGTGCTATAAAACATAATTATTTAGCACTGATTAAAGCCTTAGAAAATATTACTTATTCAACAAAACAAACAGATGTTAATGCTAAAGGACGTGGATTATTATATCAACTTAAAAATTTTAATTTTATACTTGGACATTATATGATGGATCCTATACTTACAATGATTAATAAAGTAAGTAAATATTTACAAAGTGAAAATTGTGATTTATTATCTGCTATGAACTACATTAAATCTCTTAGATCTGCTATTAATGATATACGTTCTGAATGTAACTTTAAATATATTTATGACTTAACTGTTTCTATGTGCAAAAATTTAGATGTGACTATACCAAAACCTAAAAAACGTAAAATTTCACAACGAATTGATAATGGTGGTAGTAATCAGTTCTTTCCAGATACAAATGAACAAGAATTAAGACTCGGGTCATTTTATCCAATGCTCGATATAATTATGAATGGTTTAGATGAACGATTTAATCAAGATACTATAAATATAATAAGTTCAATAGATAAATTATTAAACTTGGATATTACTAACACAGGTTTGAATATTTTATCTAATCATTTTAAGTATAATTACGATGAACTTGTTAGCGAAATTCGAATTTTAAAAAAAGATTATACAACACCTAAAAAGTTAACCAAATCAAGCACATCAATCCTACATATCTGGTTACAGTGGTTAAACATGTTTAACAGAAATGTTTTATTTAATAATTTTAGCATAATTTAAAAAAAATTCTCAGTTATTCCAGTTACCAGCTGTAAATTTGAGAGATCATTTTCCAAATTAACTCAAGTTAAATCAAAATATTAATAAGAACATAAATGATCCAAGAACGATTGAATAGTCTAATGCTTATAGCAATTGAACAAGAAATTGCAGTACATATTGATGTCGACGCCGTTATAGATGACTTCAAAAATAAAGTTGATTATAAAAGAACAATGACTTTATAATAATTAATATTCAATTGTATAAACATTAAACATGTCATGATCATCAATATTTAAATCAGTTTAATAATTAACTAAATTTAAACTTGTATTCCTTTCTAAAAAAAATAATCTTCAAATTTTGCATACCCTAAACAAGAAGTCTGGCTACGCATATGAATAATACTATACAGTATACGGTGTTATTTTCCAAGGACTTGGTGGTATATGGGTCCCATGATATTTGCTTGAACACCCATCGATATAATATACCAAGTTGGGGCACTGGATATAAGCTTATATTACAAGTGTCTTTGATGTCGATTCGACTAATTTAACGGAAAACATATTACATATTATACCATTATACTAATATAACTTAGAATGCAACAAATTGTTATTAACGAACCTATTTTAACAGGCCGTGGTACCTACAAATTACAGATTTTTGACACTTTTAATTTGAGTAGGGAGCTTCGGCTCAAATCTTAAGGCGGCTCTTAGTGGCTATTATTTAAGGGGAACAATTTAGGCAATTTCTAATCTTGTCGTCGCCGCCCGTAATCTTTGTGTTAGTCGTAAATGATTATTAGTGTGAAATTCGTAGAGATTCGAACTCGATAACAATAGATTTTATATCGCCCGGCTGCGGGCACACGGTTCAATAGCACACGTACGCGTATGCACAAGTCAACGTAATCGCTCTCGAAAAATATTTTTATACACTCACAACAGTGAAAAATGCTAATAAGCTGGCGAAAAATACACATACTTCTAGTAGTCCAATTTCAATGTTGAAAAATTATTTGAATTCGTCAGCCTCTTTTCTATGATTTGTAGGAAACCGATTTTGGATATTTTAGATAATTTACGTATATTACGGTTCCAAATGACTGCTTGATTTCTCAAATTTAACTTGCACTTTTAAGTGCTAACTAGACAAAAAGATGAAGAAGTTTTTCCTACAGATCATAGAAAAGAGGCTAACGAATCCAAATAAGTATTCAAAATCAAAATTTGACTACTAGAAGTATGTGTATTTTTCGCTAGCTTATTGGTCTAAATTCATGTAAAATCCAATCGTTTAGAGCCACCTTAAAGGGGCTGCAACGTAGCATATTTTAAGGAGTACTATTTAGGCAATTCATGTGACATATAAATTAAGGACATAATATGTAAACTCCCCTACATTTTTGTAAATTCCCCTCAAACTATTTTGCTACTGTATTACGCTTACGTAAATTCCCCTAAAAACATTTTGCAACCGTATTACGCTTACATAAATTCCCCTAAAAACATTTTACTGTTTAAACACAGTAACTACGTGTACCTACCTATTTAATTATTAAAATTTCAACGTCGCAAGGGCATAATTATGATTTACTTCTTAAAAAAATAGTAAGTACCTACCTATACAATATTTCGAGGGCATTTACTAAAATTAAATAACGTATTATTATCTATATTACACTTGAGAGTGCCTTAGAATCCATCCATATACCTACAGTGTGTCCTGTGAGAATATGCCCATTAGCCGTAGAGGGGGACTTTTTTCACGTTTTACTTAAATAAAATTAAAAAAAATATTAAAAATCATATTACATATTATTATATTAGTATTAATAGATTACTTAAAAAATATTATGTTAATTACGTAATTGTGATATAATTAAAACATTATTTTTGTAATAATATTATTAATGTAAACACAATAATATTATATTATTATCATTACACATTTGCTATCTGGGATACCGTAGGTATCCGTGCAGTTACCGCCTTACCGGCTTTCCAACAACGGTTTGATATATTATTTAGGAAGGTCACAAAAATGAAATATAAATTGATGTGGATTATGCAGCATAATGAAGGACACAGCTTTTTATAAATTAAAGAGAATAAAAATCATACCACATAAATAATTAACGATTTTCAACCTCCATGGTAATTCAACTTTTTTAAAAATAATATCTAATGCAATATCCCACATGATGAAATGTATTATAGGTACATGTCGAAAAAAGTAATAAAAATGAAACGTTGACATAAAAATACCTAAATGGATCTAATAAATAAAAAATGCCAAACAATTTTAAAATAAAAGTTTCTAATGGCAATTCACATAGGTGTCAACTGTCAGAGAACTAGAGAAGATTAGCTTACTATAAGCTATGAATAATTATTATTCTACAAATTCACCTTCCTAGTAAATAGTGATAGTAATATATACCTATAAATAATATCTATATAAATATTAAAAAATGAATAATAATAATATTTTTATTTTTTTATTATTGAACTTGAGCCCGATAAGGCCATTACCTGTTGTAGGGGTTATGAACTGTGGTAGGGGTAAGGTTGTTACGGTAGGAAGCAAACATGTGTATGGGTATATGTGTGGCAAGGTCTTAAACTACTATGAACCTGGGTGGTCACCCATCCGGGAGCAAGTAGCTGTGGCCGTTACTTACTCCCTGTCGCATTCCGCGACTGGTAGCAGCCTACGCGGCACTCCAAGCCACAATAATTATTATTATTCATTTAAATAAATGAGAAAAGTGACCATATTAAAAAAAAAGTGACAATACTACAATATTGATAGGGTAGTTTATTATTATTTTATGACATCTATTGTATATTTGTATAGTTACTTTAAGCATAATAATATAATTAATTATAATATTATATAAGAATACCGGAATACAGGTACGTCGTATAGGTATTCATAAATTCGATTCTTTTAAATTATTTTCAACTAAACATTTTGCTCTGTGTGATAAAATTATTTACATCTATTCATATTATATTATTACACATTAGCTGTTCACAAAATATACTTAAAATAAAATTGGTAGGGCTTTTAAAATAATTGTAATATTTTTAATTGAAAATCAAAAATGGAAAATGAATGCTGTGGACTGTGGTTGATATTATATGTATAGTATTGTATATTTGTATAATTTAAAAAATGTTGTATGTTTTTTGCCAATATAGGTACAAATGTTGAATACCATTTTAATTGTATAATACCTACCAAAGGTTAGACATATTTATTTTAATTTTTTTTTTATTTAGCTTCCAACACTTTAACTATTATAGCTCAACAGTTATTATGCTCAGGCATTAGAGAGAAAAACATAAGTAAACAAAAGGTTAGGTATAAATTTATAATTGACAATTGTATATAGGTAAATATACTATAACATTATAGAGATAATTTATGAATAATAAAATATGTACCTAAATATAAAATGTATTTAAAAAAAAAATGTATTAAAATACTGAAATATTTCACAATGTTAAATTGTATGAAATTTTCAAACACTACCTACATTATACTCTGTACTTAAGAGGACGCTACACGGACATTTGTTGCTTCCGTCTTACAAGTGCCTAACATAGCACATTTCAAGCCAAGCAGATCACGTTTAGCTCTGTTAGTTCAAAAATTAGAGTCAATTGCCAATTGGCCACTTATAAAATTTAAAGGTACGATTATTATCTAGGGCATCTCATTGGCTTTTTTATTATATTTTATTTTTAAAGCGAGATTTGAGTTACAAACAATTTACAAAAATCTTCAACTCATATGCATTTATTGATATATTGTACAACACGGTGCTCGACCTTATGACATGTTATGTTATGTTAGACAAATTATTATGTAGGCAGATAATTCAATGCCTTAAAAACATGTTTACAATATATATTTGAGTAGTTGTCATAAGAATGCATTTCAATTAATATGCTATAAAAATATTATAAATTATAAAATTATTGAGTTGTACAAAAAACTGCTACATTAGACATTTGATGAACCTAAAAATGGCTAATCTCAGGCCATGACAACCCTTTAGTTTTAATCATAAATTCAGGGATTTTTATAAATTCTAAGTCACTATCTACTGTACCTATTAAACCTATTACGTTTCATTATTTTAGTTAGTGCCCTAGAAATGTTGAAATGCAACAAAACATACAGGATCCTTATCAAGTCGCGCGTAGGCACTATTTGAATGACGTGTGTGGAAATTATTACTGAATTGCGTTACAACTTATAATTGCTTCGGTTTTCGAGGTGGAGAATCAACAGTTTCACGGTATTTAAATACGGTACAGATCGTGCCGTGTACAAAGTTTCATAACTGTTGGAAAAGTATTACGAATTTGAGTGTTTGGATTTCAGCAGTTTTACTGTGATGAGTGCCGGCCCGTACTATTACAGTATTCTACTGATTTGCTTATGAAGACATTTCTGAACTGCAGTATAACTGCATGGGTTTTTGAGCAAGAGGCTCAACATTTTTACTGTATTTAAACACAGTACAACATGCCGTGTACAAAATGTCATAACATGTGATTAAGTTTTTAGGTTTGGGATATTTCAGCGACAGTTAACTTGGAGGTGAAATTCGAAGGGTCTTCTTGGAGATTGGTAGGCAGTTGTAAGGGAGTATTATAATGGCCCTTGTGGAGTATAAGCCCATTCGGACTTTGTCTGCCCACTGCTATGGCCCCAGTTCAGTAAATTATAACGACCAGGTTGTATGTTTAATTAAATATTTAACCACCAATATAGGCTATACTCATACCATCTAACTTACACAATTTGTGCGCATAGTTGAATAATAAATATACATACTAACGTTGTTGATGAAGTACTACTGTAGGTTAAAAGTGAGTACTGTAAAATGGATGGTATTACATTTGAATTCAATGATATAATATCAGTTTATAAGAAAAACGATTAGGTATAAGACATATTATATAGGTACTTTCTATGGTATTAAAACAATTGACCTATAATAAATTCTAAATTAATAATCATATCACAATATCCATTAGGTACTTATAACGTGTTATACATAAACAACAAACCTTGATACTATCATAATTATATAATAGTATAATTTAGAAGTTTAAAGTACCCACGAATAATATTATACAATCACAACAAAATAACTAAAATAGTTTTTCTAGGTTTTTATATTATGTAATTTCGTCTAAATTTGAACTTAAAATTT